CCCCAAAACCCCAAAACCCCAAAACCCCATTAAATGACATTGTCTTAATTTTTGTAAGTTTATATTTAATGAAATGAAAAGAATACTTTGATATTTCAACTTTGTTCTAATTTTTAATGACTTTAGTGCTTGGTAGCAAATTAATTCATACTTTTATTCTTATTACTAGGCTTTTTGCCTTATCATTGAGACTGTGTTCCAATTAGTTAAATTTAGCATATGTTTCTTTGTCAATTAGTGGCTTTAGAAATTTTATATAGGCTCCATAACCTAGCAGTAAAACGATGCAAAGTACCACTACGAAAATCACTTTGTAGATCTGAGTAGCATCAGAACTATCACCAATTGAAAGTAGGCTTTAAGGTTTAATAGACTAAATGATTCTTGCAGATGAGTAGACGTGAGGTGCCAGTTTAAAGCGATTAGCCTCGTCATCATGAATTGAGTAGTATTCTCTAAGGAACACATCTCCTAGAAGCCAAAAATTACCTCCGTCAACAATTCCTATAGCACAAATTGACTAATCATGAAGGTAGTCAAAAACAAATGATTTGGGAGTTATTTCAAAGTATTTGCTATCAATGTATAAGAATATACTTTCGTAGGTGCTTAAATCACAAGTTCCATAATGAATACCGTTTTTAACGTAGTGTTCAGGGTGGTTTTAGGTTATTATACTTAAAAGTTTTTCATAAATTTTAGTAGGTGGGTATATCAGTGAAGTTCCAGTATCAAAAATAGCCTCTACTTATGAAGTAGAATAGGCTCTAATCTCATTTGAAGCTGATTTTTCGGTCTCTCCATATCTAAAGCCCTCAATATAGGATTTCCAAAAGTAATCCTTAACTAGTGGAATGTCAACTAGACTCTCACCAGATCTGATCATCAAAGGATTATAGCCTCCAATTTCAACAGAACTTATACTAGATGAGTCAGAGGATAGATAAAATGAGAAAATTTTGCTTGAAATAACCCCCTAATTGAGAAGGTAGTTCATTAAAAGGGGTCCCGAATTAGAAGCTTGTCGAGACATTCCTAATATTCCGTCAAAATTTTTCTAAGAAATTAAAACTTAACTATTTGCTTACAAATCCTGTCACAGATGTTGCAGCCATAAACTTATAGTTAGTAGCCTGCACGTTTCCATTACTGTCTAATGACACTGTATCAAATGCGTACTTTCCAGCAACAGAAGCTGATCCATACTAAATATAATATAAGCAAGAACTTATAAATACTTCTAAGTTATAAGTGTTTGTCCCTTATTTGAATGTTTTACTTGTACTGTAATCATAGGTATTTGTTTTACAATTCTTGCAATCCTTAGATTATACGACACACCACTATAAATTATTAGATCAGATAAGATTATTTAGTTACAGATGAGCCAGTGTCAAATATCATGGTTAGCTACTGTCTTTCGGTGCCCATAAATATTGATCCTTAATAAGATAGATTATCAATGTTGTTAAGAGAATAAGTTTAGTCGTAGAAGGTTGCCCCCAATATTTTGAATGCTTATTTAATTCCCACTATTAATAGCAATTAGACATATATTATTCTAACCTGATAAAAATAATTTAATAGAACTAATGACATCGTCGTCCTAAAATTTGTTCAGTTCTGCCACTCTATTTCTTAGATACTTATTCGGGTCATGCACTTTTTATAATTCAATCTTGATTGTCTTCTTTGGAATCACTTCAACATTTTTTTCTTCCATAATATCCTAAGCCAGAGTAAAAGATATTAGGAGTATGAGAAGTAAATTTGTTATTGCTGTTGATTTCATGATTTATTTAACTATTTTAATTAAATTTGTATTGTCTATATCATATAATAATCATATTTTATTCTATGGGGTTTTGGGGTTTTGGGGAGATCGGAAGAGCACAC